TCAAATGGGTTTTTATTGTATTCCGTGACCATTGACAGTGTAACGCCTAGTTTAGTTACCAGTCCCCCACAAACATCTAGTGACATGTAAAACTCTAATTTATTCTGCAAATGTGGTGAGAAAATAAATGAATTTTTATTATTTATTTTTATTTATTATTGAAAACAAAGTAGTACAGAGTAGTCAGGCCTTTTTAAAACATTGTATAACAATCGAATTACATAGTAAATAACCCTTAGAAGTTCTAAGATGAGGTTAGCTGCCGAAATAAAAAAAACTTACAGATTAGATGTACGAGACAGAACTGTAATGTAATGTACTAACATATATTGAGTAGGGTAGACATCGCACAATGAGACTTCATCAGGCAGTTATCATTATTTCTTAGTTAGTGAAGTGGCCAGAGCTCCGATCCTTCCCAGGACTGTGATAAAACTAAACCTAATTTATTTACCTGATATAACCAAAGGGCTTAACCATATTATAATGCCTCAGTACAGAGGTGACTAGGTTTTATATACAACTAAAATATAATTTAAAAAAACCCTCTTTACCATTTTAGTGTTGAGATATGAGTGTCTGGCTGTCAATGCCTTCAATGCAAAAAACCTATAACGATTAAAAAAAATGCCATTTTAAAACATCTTAGCTTAAGAATGAATTTAACCTATGTGTGAGTGCCTACTTTATAACCGACTTCAAAAAAAGGAGGAGGTTATCAATTCGACTGTATTTTTTTTTTATGTTTGTTACCTCAGAACTTTTGACTAGGTGAACCGATTTTGATGATTCTTTTTTCTCCTATATCGTTTCATTATTTTAGACACGTTGACGATGCGAATATAATTAATCGATTTTAGAGTTATTTTTTATTTTTATAAAGCAGAGTTAATTTTAGTCAAAAATACTAAACTTGTTTAATGACTTATCCCATGCTAAAATTGGTTATATTAGAAGATCACTATGTGACAAATATAAATCTATCTATCACTCTTCATTTATTAATCTAAGTGATCTGATTTTTAACATTTAAATGACAATTATTGCAAATTAATTTCAATACAATTAATACAACTATTCATCATTAAAGACTAAATTTATTTTGTACTGTCACATGTAAATGCGGCTCGTACAATTGAATATAACGCTTTAAAACGTACAACATTAAACATAAATTTAAAAATACTACCTTTTGCAGTATCATAATATCCACAAAGGTTAGTAGTACACTTACATTATAATAGTAAAGTTTATATATTTTTATTGCTTTTTAAAGTTTAACTTTAAAGCAATTTTAAAGTTTTAAAATATATATGTAGTTAGGCAGATCAAGTATTGGGGAAGTGTTCTCCCCTGGGATAGGGCCTGATTAGGCATGGCGTCAATTCGGGGAGGACCTGAAATAACATGGTCCGGGTCCTCCCCAGAGTAGGTGTCCGGCCGTCGGGGTGGTTTTTAGTGGAATCACCACATACACCTGGCTCCTGAGTCCCCGAGGGGCAGGAGATCCGAAGGGATTTTCCACCCCGTCAACAAAAAAAAAAGGCAGATCAAGTATTATTAGTATCCATGTGCATTCCCTTCTAAAGTAGACATGGAGAGTAATGTAATAATGAATACCTATAATACGAGTAAATACATCATCATCATAAACAGCCTATAACAGTCCACTGCTGGACATAGGCCGCTTGTTAGAGAGGAGGTTTATATACAAGCGGTGATAATGTAAGACTTAACCTTTTAGAAAGAGAGACATTGTAAAGAAAGTTTGCCTACTTTTATCAATCATATTCACACCCCTATAAGTATTAAAATATTTATAATTTTAAATGTACTCTTTTTTGTTATTTTAGGGATACATTTCCCAAGCAAAAAAAAAAGATTGAAGTAGGCACACATTTGTATATAGTAGAAAAAAGGACGGAAGGAGACGTTTAGAAGACGTTTGTGTGATAGAAAAACATTTAACTGAATCTGTACCATTTTTATATATCCGTTAAACAGAACTATTTTTGCATGTGAAGGAAGTTTTGTTTCTATACAGTTAGTAATATTTTACTATTATAATCTTAATTTCTTACTAAAGAAAAATCAATTAGGTACAATGCGTTATTTTAGTTAAATCTGAAATTTAATGTGAATATGCAATCTTACCGTATATGAGGTCAAGATGAAATGGCGATAGCTTTTAGCTTATCTTAGAAGCTAAATTATTATCTTATTCATCAAATTTTTCTGGACCGGACATTCGGACTTTATCCGGTATCCGGTCTTGAGTTACTATTTAATAATTGTCATTTTGTTCCTTATTTTAAGTACTTAGTTTAATCACTTAACAAATATAAATGCCATATTTTGATATCCTTAACAACAATTCATTGGACTAACTGCACTATAGATAAATTATGGTATGTAAACACTATATTTTTGTTTAATAAAGTTTAATTTTGATTTCTTTTTTCTGTTCAATCGTTCAATTAGATACAAATTAATATTTTATTGTATTTTATATGTGAAACATGATTTTCAATGTAATAACTATCTTACGTATGTTATGATTTTCACTATGAGCAGACCATAGAGAAATTGTTTGCAGAAAGAAGGTTTGGTTATGAAAATATCTTAATCTCAAGCACGACAACGGGTAATCATAAAACTAAACAATTGAGTCTTAGAGAACTGTATAACAATTTATTTTTCTAATTTAATACCTAACTCTTAATTAAACATTTACTCCTAAAATGATCATAAAATTTTGAACGTTATTGCGTATACTAGAATAAAATAACAAGGATGACTTAGATGCGAGTAAGCTTCAGGCTTAAGCTAAGTTAAGTCACTATAGCCATGGGCTGGCATCATTTTTGTTTCTTAAAAGACAACTCCCGCAATAGGAATATTTAACATTCTATGTCGCGGGGTACTTTACAGAGATACATGAAACGGTGCAGTGAGCATTGCAATTGCTTTAAGTGCATTGTCTTTAAGTAAAATGATTTTTATATGAAATTACGTTATTTTCAAGATTAATTTGCAGAATTTATCGTAAGGTTCGTGTGATACATGAACATGCATCCGACTCGAAAATTAAATGCTAGTAAAGGACTCTTTACAAGACATTTTATAAATTGCATTGCAACTTTCTAAATTCATCTAATTAATGCTGCGCGTTAAGTTTTTTCCTAATTCACCTTACAAAGAGGTATGACACAGGTTCGTTGCTCAGTTTCATCTTTATCTATTTTAGGCCTTATTATCGATATGTAGTACATCCTATAATATACACGGCCGGATATTTTTTAGTCAAAAAATATTCGTAACACATCTACTATTTTTAATTGTTTACTTAAATAAATATTCGTCATTTAGTATTTGTTAGAATTGCGTGCATGAATAGAGTGCATTTGTAAGGGTTTACTCCAACGTATAACATGTTCGGCCAGATATATGGCTATATCTAGCTTTAATGTCAGCCGGTATCCGGCCAAAACAGCTGTCACATAAATTCCTAGTATTTTAATAGTTGAAAAAGGATATTTTTAGTGATGTGAGGTTTACTCCGAAGGTAATTTTATAAATTTGTTTTTAAAATGTACTTACTTAATATATTTTATAGCTTGAATCTGTTGTGGTGACATTTAATGTTTTTAATTAATGTGTATTTTTTATGTATCAGTGCGTGTTGATGTTTACATACATATGCTTATCAAATAATGTCACCATGCCAAATGCAAATAAACATTAAGACAAGAATCCGAGTGTTTCATTTGTACACGGCTTCATTTAAATCAATTAAGAAATGTTATTCCAATAGGTCACTTCGGATCTAACTCTAATATACAATAGATATAATTGTATATATACAATTGAATATAGTTATATTTTAGTACACCTAGTAGTTCCTTGTGTATGTAATTTGAATCTTATGAAGTTAATCAAGGAGAATTGAATTATAAATTTAATCGGAATTTATATATGAGTAAAGACATAAAAACACTAAATCTTCATATATTAAAAATATTCATTAGAAAATGAAGGTGCATGCAAATAAATCACAGTATTAACAAATGGTTATAAGTATAAAGAGTTTTAATCTTATGGTTACACTGCTTGCTATACAGTGTTATTCCTTAAATATTTAGTAAGTAAGTAAACATCTGTTTATTTTTGTGTGGGATAATTTGTGGTTTGAAAGTTTCATATAAATAAGACCAAAGTAGTCCGTTGAAAAATATTTTATTCTCCATGATTAGCGGTTTTACTCTTGTTTATATATTTTGAAAATTTTCAACAATGTTTGTATATTTATATTAAGAAACGTTATATAATATAATCATTGCTGGATTGTATTATTTGGCATATCACTGCAAGACTCATTTAATACATTCTGTACGACTGTTACAAAATATATAAATATCATATTTAGTTAAACTTTATGAAGACGCGTTATACTACAAGTAGAGTGGTTCGAGGCGTAATATATATGGACGATGAACATTATGATTGTGAAGGAGTACAGGCGTCAGGCCGAGATCGAGGGGGCGCCCGTGCGACCATGATACACCAATCTACAATAACCGCGCAACAATGGCAACAATACAGTAACAACTTCCTTATCCACTTTAACTCGAACATATACAAAATGCATAACTCTAAGAGTTTACCCTAAAAATACATCAATATGGAAAATGATTGAAACAAACAGATGTTATTTACAAGTTCTAATACCCACAGAACGCTTAATTAAAACAGGTTCATTCGATTCACTACTAAGAACTATCGAAGAAAATTTTCATTTCAGTATACTCCTTATCGCCTACCACTAGAGACAGTTCGAACAACGTCGCTAATGTAAATTCAAATCTAGTCTATCACAGCTTACTTAGAAGTACCTCCTTAGGCGCCCGACGCGCGTGACGTCATACGTAGTGCGGGCCGCGGTCGCGGCGGCGCAGCGGCAGCGCCTCCGCCACCGCGTACAGCCGCCACACGCGCCACCCCTACAAGCGCGCCTCGCGCCACAGGCCGCACTCGCCGCACTCCGCCTGCCCCAGGTCCACGGCCAGCAACACCCGCGCCGCTCGCGCGCGCTCCGCCAGCTCCGGCGAGCTCGCGCTGGCCGCCAGGCGCACGCGCCGGCCCAGCAGCGGCTCGCTGGACGGCTTGGGGGCGTCCGTCAGGCCCGCCTTGGACGTGGTAGGCGTGGGGCTGGCCGGCGGCGTGGGCGCCTCGTCCGCAGAGGTCTGCAGCGGCTTGATCATGGCCAGCAGCCGCGGCGGCCCCCTCTCGATCATGTTGATGTGCACGCCCTCGAGGACGGGCGAGTTTCGCCTCGAGTTGACGGACCTCTCGGTCGGAGTGTAATACACGGACATCTTGCTCTCTTCGTCGAATATCGGATTCGGCAGGCTGGAGAGTTTCTCTATTTTCGTCTTGAGGTACATGTCGATCACCTCCACGTCCGGATCGAAGGCCATAGAATCGCTCCGCCCGCACGACCCGCTCCGACAGTTCTCGAAGTAGAGACTGGGCAGGTTCTCCAGAACCTTGTTCAGGGTCTGCTGCTGATACTTGTACGACTCCCGTAGTCTCAAAACCTGGTGCGCACTGAACTTTCTAATTTTGTTTCTTTGGAATACGTAGTTCTCTCGCACCCAGTTTAGTTGACACGTGGAGTATTCGCGTACGCGTTTTACCTGATGGAACAAAAAAAACTATAGTCGATAATAGTTAGTGGATACCAGCGGTGGTAAAGAAATTAAACGAAATTAAACTTCGTACAATACACACTAGTTCAATTTAGTAATGAAAACAAAATGACGTTTACCTGGTCGTAATACTGATCTCTCACAGCGCTCAAATGATTGCTCCCAATGTCTCTAATGTTGCGTAAATGACTTGCTTGCGTCGAGTAACTGTTCTGTATCCAGTCCATTTGCTGTGTACAGTTTTCTTTGATACGATGAACCTGCAAAATAAATTGATTTAGATTTTTCTAAAGCACCTTACTACAAAAGTTTTATACGTGAAAGTACACTCACTTGAACGGCGTAATTTTCTCTAAGTTTTTCAAGTTGTTGTCTCTTATATTGTTCGATGTTGTCCAGCATGCAAAATATTTGTCTGCTGCGTGGCGCCTCACGATTAACGCAGGTACAGCAGCTGCAACAAGTCTCTAAGAGACGAAATCTGAAATCAAACAATGTTCTTTTTAGATTATGTATAAGTGTTAACTCTTAATTAAGTTGTAAGATACTGACCTGTAAAATATGTAGCGCAACGCCTGTACTAATAGCGTAAGTCCTAAAAAAGCTACGGCGCATATTGCACCGCATAATAAACTATACATCTTTATCTCAAACATAGTCATTGGATCTATGTTGAGTACCACCTCTGCCGTCGCATTGGCGGATGGGTTCGTTGCAAAGCATAAGTAGGTTCCACAGTCTTCTCTATGAATGTCTCCTATGAATAGCGATCCATCGTCGAGCACTTTGATTCTCGATTCTGTAATATCTATAGGGTTATAATACTGGTCGTGGGCGATGCCATGTTTCTGAAATATATCTGGCACTAACGGATCAGGGTTCCAATGAAACACTATTCTTGTCGGCGTTATCCAAGTAATCGAAGGAGACGGGTTGCCTTCGAACCTGCACTTCAGTAGGGCATCAGTCTGGAGTCTGTATAAAGCTAAGGGACTACTGGATACCAGCGTTGGAGGTTTGCAATTTGTGTGGTTTAAAATCCTTATCATGTCGTTGGGATAAGTTAGCGGACAGCTCAGCTCTGACTTGATGTAATCTTTTTTCTTTTCGGCCCAATCGGCGAACCACGCCATGCGACAGTCGCATGCCCACGGATTGTTATGCATTTTCAGTTCTTGCAACTTTTCCAATTGCTGCACAGATTTAGGCAAGGTCAACAAAGCGTTTGAACTGAGATCCAGGTGTGTTATAGCCAGGGTGTCTAGGAATACAAATGTTTCTATTTCACGTAAAAATTCGTTATTTGTTATTTTTAAGTTTTCTAGAGTACTTAAGCCTTTGAAATTTGTGTTCTGTATAACAGATAATTCAGTGTGATCGAGGTAGATCGTTTTAATATTTTCGTTATATTGGAAGAGCATTGGAGGCAAGGTTTTCATGCGATTACCGCCCATATCCAGCAACCTTAAATTTTTAAGATACTTGAATGCATCATTTGATATGTTGTCATACTGGTTATTGCTTATATTAAGCTCCCTCAATTTTTCGAAACTGTCGAACAGAGCTCTTGGTATATAATCTAGTTTGTTGCTAGAAATGTCCAACTTCTCTAATTCTTTAAGATTGACTAGAGCATTAGACGTAATTTTGACTAGGCTATTATTATTTAGGAACAGTACTTTCAATAGTCTATTAGGTTTAAAAAAGTTATCTAAGAAGGTAGCTATTTTATTATGTGAAATATCCAAATATTGGAGGTTGCTCATGGGCCCGAAGACCTGGAATGGTATAACACGAAGCTGATTGTATGACAGATCTAGGATCTCTAGACTCGCTAAGTCGATAAATGTAGATCTAGGTATATCTTCGATGAAGTTATGCGATATGTTTAGGTACTTTAAATGAGTGAGGTGAGCGAAAAGGCCGTGTTCTGTTCTTCTGCTAATTTCGTTTCCACTCAAGTCGATGTATTCCAAGTTGTAGAGCCCTTCGAAAATACCTATTTCGATAATTTTGACTTTAGAGTTCGTCCAGGTGATGTACTGGAGGTTAGTTGCGTTGCTACCAAAGGTTTCGCGTCCGATTCGATCTTGTGGGGCCGCCACTCCGTCACAACGCAGTGCGGTGCTGTTGCAGCTGCAGCCAACAAGGCAGGCGTCTGTCGAAGCTGTGCAAATGATTGCCAGCGCTAATACTTTGTGCACCCACTGCATTATATTAATACCCTCATAGTCTTATTTACTGTAACAATGAAAAATGATTTTGTTTTATCTTACAAGTAAACTCTAGTTAAAAATACAAGTTAGGTTCGTCAAATCTAGCTCAAGGGGTCAACATTGTTTGTCATCAGGTCAATCATGAGCTTGTTTACTAACTTAGTGGCATAAAAAGGCAGTTAGTGTATGGACTGTTATTGTCTTATTGACATTGAAAGAATAAGTACAACTGTTGGGAACTATTATTTTATTATCAATGCCTGAACAATGATAATCAACTTATATGAATTGAATAAAAAATGTACTTCATTATAATAAAGTATGTAAATATAAGTAAACCCTGTTTATTAGATCACTTACTTAGAAAGAAAGAACTTAGGTATGTTGCATTCAAATATTTGTATATAAACGGCGCTAAAATTTTATTGTAGGCTCCGGTTTCGATACTGTTACATTGCATGATATTGTATTAATTTTTTGCCCACCTAGACCTAAATTTCAAGGTTCGTTAACTCTTAATATGTGCTGCGAAACTAGAACACTTCCCGAAACTTTGCATCTGCACGTTAATAATGTTTCAAAAAGAATGTTCCCCTAATAACATTAGCTTTTATTCTTATTGTGTTAATCAGTTAGTGGAAACTAGTTCAGTATCGCTTTTAGAAAAAAGAAACCGATTACCTAGTCACGTTTCATAAGTCTGCAATTTATTACCACTGCCATTCATAAGTTTTACATGTATAGATAAAATTTAACACAATGTGATATTTATTTATTGTCTTCAAACACACTAGGCTTCTAGCAAGTAATTTTTCTGTTCCGCCTTACTATCTGTTCAGTTGTCTACACACCAACACCAAATATAACTATACGAACATGCCTGGGGACACTTGTAACTAGAACGAATGCACTACTGCAGCCATTGACACGTATTCTACAATATAATCAAATAATTCACCTAACACTCGTCGACATTTTACACCAACTTGCATAATCCACGTTATTTTATGTTGACAACAGATGCGATGAAGCCAGCCATGCTCCGTTAAAATTCCCTCACACCTTCACCTGTATAACTGTAACTCCATTGCACATTCACAAGTTACACTTTTCCAAACATTCGTTCACAATTTTATATAGGAATTTCACAGTAAAATGAATAAGCTTCGCGCTTGGTGATAAAAGAAATACACTGTCACAACGACGGAGGCCGCGCACTGAAAAGAAGTAAATGGCGGCGCTGCGAGTTGCGCGGCGCGTTCTCTGTCTCGCAAGCGCGCGGTTCGCATAGCGTTCTCGCTTACACATTGGTTCAGTCAGCTGTGGGGTTCGGGGACAACCGAATAGTTCCGAACATAGGCGAAAGTGCTTTCGGAAGCAGACCGTGTGCGTACGAACGATCACCGACGCATTCTTGCAAGTACATATTTCTTAGTTGTGTTGGGGAATAAAGTATTTTATTCAATGGTTGGAAACTAAACACAAAATAATATTGTACGGTTGTAAAATATTAAAACGAAAGGTACTTCAGTAATTGTGCACTTATTTTAAATGACACAGTTATTTTAAACTTTAAGACGGTTTAGTAATTAAATGGTTTAAGGACAATGATAAAGATATCATTGTAATGTTTCATTTGTTCGTAACATTAGGTACCTATTAGTTAAACTTATAGCTATTAGTTACGTAACACTGTTGGGATTGTTAGGTAATATTGATAGAAATTGTTTTGTCTAGAAGTAGTGGTGTGTTAAATATCAAGGCATACATATTACACTAGCTTTTGCCCGCGACTTCGGCAGCGTTGAATAGTTACTTTGGGCTAACGCTTAATTTAAACCGCGACTTCGTTTACGTAGAAGGTGAAAATATTTTTAAATAATACGTACGTTAAGGAGCTATTTCCGTTTACGCAGCGCACGCAGCGGAAGCTCTCAAAAGAAAAAACAAACCCCGGTTTTGAAACATTCTTCATTGGTGCTTCGCTCCTATTGGTCTTAGCGTGATGATATGTAACCTATAGCCTTTCTCGATAAATGGGCTATCTAACACTGAAAGAGTTTTTCAAATCGGACCAGTAGTTCCTGAGATTAGCGCGTTCAAGCGAACAAACAAACAAATATAGTATTAGTATAGATACGGCTATGAAAACCGAAAATTACAAAATTCAGAAGATGATACCGTGATGATAACAGTAGGTAACTATAGTTGTTATTTTTTACCTATTTCCTTTACTTTTTGTATGTGCGTCATAAGAGTCGTAAGGCGCGACCAGACAGTGCGGTGGGCCGAAATAGGACGGTCGTTTCTCAAAATAAAAACTGGTTACTAACATCTATAACTTTACACTGTTATGTATTCGTTCATGAAGTTTTTGTTATTTAATGTAATAATGTAGTCTGTAAAAATGTATTTAGTTTAGCTTACTAGTTACGTAGATATAGGTAACACAAATTGCATACATGCCAACAACATTACTCAATCTAACTCTCGCCTGATATATAACATGCTAAATATAAAAAAAAACCGACTGCGTGAAATGTATACCTTTTTTGTAATTTTCATATACCTACCCAGTATCACTCTCACAATTAAGACGAATCTAACGACAACTCAAACGCCAAAATCCATCAAGCTGTACAGAGCGTGCCAAAGAAATAAACATAATAGGTATACACTCGAAACCCTTAACTCTCCATCTGGTGGAGTTGAGTAAACAGTATTTATTGCAGAAAAAAGTGCTCTTATGCTGCACTGTGTTGGACTGGTTGACTTGCCTTAACCCCTGGGCATATAAACAGCAATAAGATTGTTTATATGATGATTACGCCAGCCACACTTATCTATAGTGTGTTTACATATATATGCATACAGATCTGTGCTAAGTATGTATCAAAATACATAAATGTATGACGTGGCCAGATCTAAGAACTCGTCACTCAATGATAGTCAGACCATTTCATGACCATCATTTTTTTTCTTAAAGGCAACTCCCAGTACTAGGGATATATGCTGCGTCGCGGGGGACAAAGCACCCAGACTCAGAGCAGCAATTTGTGGATCACGCAAAGTGTTGTTCCACATGGGGATCGAACCCACAACGCTCAGCGCAGTAGGAAGCGGGGAGTTAAATCGCTTGAACTATTACGTCACCCGTGCAGTCGCCGTTTGACCGAATCGTTTAAATGTTAACGTTTGATGATAATCCTCGTTTGGTTATGACCTTATAATATAGCTTAACATATTATTTTATTATAAATAGCTTAAATAAAAAATATAAATTATACTGCACTTTTAATTTTTTATGCATATTATTAAAACCGAATAATTGTCAACCGCCACGTAATAAAAACTATATCGGCACCTCCAAGATAGGGAACGTACTCATTATATGATAAAAAAAAAATTACCTACCTCGGAGATCACACGTTGTATTTGCCAAGACCTTCCCTTCTATAATTTTCACGTAGTCACAGTAAATTTATAAAGTCTAAAAGTTGTAGTGTGTGTATGTTTGTTACTTCTTCACGCTGAAACGGCTTGACCAATTTTAGTAAATTCGGTATGAAGGTAGCATACATCCTGGACCTTACAACCTGAATGCTCCCGTGGTACGATAAACCACGGGGCGCAGCTGGTATTTTTTTTTTACATATTATAAACTAAAGTCGCTTTTTTGTGTTGTACGCTTAGATCTCTTAAACTAATTTATTTACGGATGACGGAAGGGATGGAATAAAATCACAATCACATATGATAAATCATATCATCACAACTGTGGCTGATTTACAAAACCACTGCTACTTAATTATTAATATATATATTTTTTTTATAATCGATTCAACTATCAGAAATTGATTGAAATAAAAATTGTAACAAAATATTGTCTGCTAAGGTGCCAAAAAAATGACAAAAATGTTTTTCAACGTCTGTAGCGAAGACTAAAGCTCCTACGACAATAAGTTGAATGTAACAAATGTGCGCAATAAAAAAACAAAGAGAATGAACCCCTGGAGAACAAAATCGCACCATCAGATCGCCAAAAATTCGAAAAGAAACTTGTAAAATTAATAACTTGCGTTTGGGAAGTGGTGGAGAGTTGGAATTAGTGATGCGCCGAGTCGCTGTTTTGGTGGATCGAATCGATACGAGTCGGTTTATACGGTATTCGAATCATGACTCGATTCCGCGATTCGAGCCCAGTACTCGAGTTCTATGTTTGGTATTCGAATGTTAACTCTAGTCCAGGACTCGAGTTTAAGACTCGAGTCTAAAAATTCGAGTCCAGAACTCTAGTCTGGAAATTCGATCTAGAACTTGAGCCTAAAAATTCGGGTCCAGAACTCTTCTCCCCTGGGATAGGACCTGATTAAGCATGGTGTCAATTCGGGGAGGACCTGAAATAACATGGTCCGGGACCTCCCCTGAGTAGGAGACCTGAGGCCGGCCGTCGGGGTGGTTTTTAGTGGAATCACCACATACTTCTGGCTCATAGTCCCAGAGGAGCAGGAGATCCGAAGGGATTTTCCACCCCAATAACAAAAAAAAAGGCGTCACATCATTCCTTATGTAAACAGATATCGAGTACGAGCGAGTCAACCTAACTCGTATACTAGATTCAAGTCACATGGAATCGCTAAACAGAATCGAGTCAGCGAGTACAAATTCGATTCTTCCTGACTCGAGTGCCGGAATCGAGTCCGGCGTACTTGAATCAAAATAAATTGGTATTCGAATAAGCGAGTCTAAAGCAGGAATCGAGTCTGACTCGAGTCAAGCCCTACTCGGCACATCGCTAGTTGGAATTCGGATATATTCTCATTGTAGAGTACACAGTAACACCGACAATATATCCGAATCTCTTGAATCCGAAGTCTTGTAACTACAGTTAAAGTTTCAGGTCAAAATGATTTTCCATAACATGTTATATCACTATTCCATATCATGAAGTGATCAGTACCGGCAATGGGAAATACTTAAATAATTTGATCGATAAGATATGCACATATGTATCTGATTAGGTTGTTTAATAAATCTATTATATATTTATCGTGTTTTTCACACTCTAAACCATATCATACCAAGTATATATGAATAGTAAGATTATCTAACATCCTAACGCCGACAAAACAAGGTTTAACAAGCGCTGAATTATTACAAGTATATTAAAGAATGGATCTAAAGATAGATAATTTTGAAATCCGTTAAGTTAAAGAAAACATTTTTTTTTATTTACTGATGTTATATCAGAGCATAAATTTATATAAATGTTAATCTTTTTTATTTATTTTTTACTAAGGGGGCAAACGAGCAGAGTGGTCACCTGATGGTAAGCAACTACCACCGCCCATGGACACCTGCAACTCAAAAGTCACAAGTGCGTTGCTGCCCTTGGAGTCCCTCCCACTCGAGTCAGCGGGAGGGGGGATTTGGGCTCCGGTCACCTCACTCACTCGGTGAAAGGCAACGAAAGAATTGCTTAACACCGGTTTTCTCTGAGGCCGTGGTATTACTCCGGTCGAAGCATGTCACGTATTAAGTTCACACTAACAATCATTTACACAATTGAAAAAATTATCTACTACATTATCACATTAGGCTCTGTTATAGTTGTGTGATGCAGTGATTATATTTATTGTTTTATTTGCGTCCGCTTTCTCAATGTTTTGATTGAAGCTATAGACTCGCCAAGTCGATAAATGTAGATCTAGGTATATCTTCGATGAAGTTATGCGATATGTTTAGGTACTTTAAATGAGTGAGGTGAGCGAAAAGGCCGTGTTCTGTTCTTCTGCTAATTTCGTTTCCACTCAAGTCGATGTATTCCAAGTTGTAGAACCCTTCGAAAATACCTATTTCGATAATTTTGACTTTAGAGTTCGTCCAGGTGATGTACTGGAGGTTAGTTGCGTTGCTACCAAAGGTTTCGCGTCCGATTCGATCTTGTGGGGCCGCCACTCCGTCACGTCAGTGCGGTGCTGTCGCAGCTGCAACCAACAAGGCAGGCGTCTGTCGAAGCTGTGCAAATGATTGTCAGCGCTAATACTTTATGCACCCACCGCATTATAATAATAGCCTCACAGTCTTAATTATACTGTAACAATAGAAAACATATTTGATTTTTTCAACCTAAATAAAGTTAGTAGATGATCGTATAGTATTATTACTTTTATTAGGCGGTAGTTAAACGTAATCGTGATGGTATTTCATTGGCTGTGTGCTTGACTATATTAGTATTTAAAAAAAGCGAGGGACATAATTGCTTACACATTTTTAAATGCCATTGACTGTACCTATACAACGGTTTAAGGTAAATGTTGTGTATTACAATTTATGTATAGGCACTACTTTGTAGCTGAAATGATTGTTTTTTGAAATTATTATTTTTTGATGTCGTTTAAAAATATATTTATTTATTTTCTAGAACTTATAGTATCTGTGATATTCAGTTGGGGTCTGTATAATACTTTGTCTGTCTAATTTAATAATTAATTTTTATTTTTTTAATTATACTATACTCGTAAAGTATAATTACTTACGTTAATGCTTGAACGACGATCCCAGATTCTCAAATATTTCTTGCAATTATAGTGATAAAGTTAGCTGATAAGAAGACCACACTCAATACAATTGAGATACGAACTTAAAATGAGTAAAGAGCAGCTCTGTCTCAGCGGATCCTGGACCACATAGCGGTCTCGCTAGGCGAAGTTTTGGATGAGCGCTATGTACACAAGAACCATATTTTTTCTTTATTAATACATTCCTTAATTTTCAATGTCTACTGAGATCCAATACACTATAGAGGCCTTAGTGTGAGTTTATTTCACATTAACTCGATTTCGAGTAATTTCGCCGCATGCGCGTTGCGATTGGCCCGCACTGAACTCTTCACGAATCGCAGCGCCGAGTGACGTGGCCCTCTGCCCAAAGGATGAAAGTACTTATTAGCTATAATAAAAAAACAAGATATATTGCACGTGGAAGATAACAGATTTTTTCACAGTATACGTAAACGAGTACACATAAATTGCTATGTGACGCAATTTTAAACAGGAGAATAATTACGCGTAACATCTGGTTAGCATATTGTTATTTAACATTTAGATATATTTTTTTAAGTCAAATGACGTAACAACACGCCTATCCAAGTGTGAATCACCTTGTGTTGTGAAGAAATGAGCTTTATTTTCTCTTCTTTTTAGTCGTTTATTGATATTATTCTCCGAGCCTTTTTCCAAACTACGTTGGGCTCGGCTTACAGTCTAGGTACTAGGACACGTCTGAACTTCGATTTTTTAGCGAGCGACTGCCTTCAGACCTCCTCTGTAGATAGACGGCTTAACGTGACGTGCTTTGATTTTTATGTTTCTAAAATACCTTTATATATAAGAGAGTGCTGTTATGTTTACCATTATGATCTCCTGCTATTTGTAGTAGAGAATTAACTTGTCTCTTAGGAATCTTAGCAACAGTTATGGTATCAGGGTAAGTTCAAGACTTTGATATTGAACTCGTAATGTCCGCTCTGCCAACTCGAAGAACTCGACACGTTTCTGCAAATGAATGTGAGTTATCGTGTCGGTGGGTGATTGTATTAATAAATTGAAAAGTCTCTTTATTTTAGAGGATATTTAGTTACGGGGCATAGTGCTGAGCCATGCACCTGTAGCTTATATAAATATATTCAAAATTAGTCAGATGTGTACGCACATACTTTCGAGGCACTTTTATTCCAGTGAATTACTAAGAGCTTATGTGTTCTATAGGATTGAATGTAAAATATGTAAAATGGAAAATGTGGGTCACTATTTCCTAAGCACTGCGTCTATTATTATCAGTACGGAAGAACTCGCAACTTGTGTAAATATCGACCTGCGTTGTAGGCCTAGCAATATTTCGTTTGCCATTTTAAAGTCATTATTATTTAAATAAAAGTCTTTGTTACCCTAAAATAATATGGCGTACGAAAGCATATCACATTTGGAAAATTTAATGGGTTTTTTTGACAACTAGGAAACATAGGAATATATCCTGTGTCGCAGGGACTTTACACACACTAATGAAAAGGACTCAAAACATTGTATCACGCAAGGTGTTCTGCCATGAGGGTATCAAACCCCCAACACTCAGCGCAGTAGAAAGTGTGAGGTGACCGCTTACACCACTACGCTATCCGTGTAATCGTTTATTATTACTTAAAAGCGATGCAGGAGAAACATACCGACTCGCCCAACGATACGTATACTTCATAAATGTATAGATTTTAAAATAAAGTCTTTTATTGTTACTAATACCTAAAGTAAACAGGATTGCCTGTTAATTGATTGTTGTTGAGAACGTGTTTTGGTATTATTCTGTAGATAAATTTGCTAAGTGGAAGTTTCACGGTTTCAACTTAAATCGGTCTTTAAGTTTAAAGCAGCTAGTGGTACGACACTTTGAAAGATAATATGCTTGTTTTTAGAAGATCTAGTTACTTATCTCTCTTATCAATCATTTAACAACTCCAAAGTTTTATATTCATGAATTTCCTTATCTTAATATTGTGTAAAGACTAACTCGTTTAATTAATGTTTAATATTTTAGTCGCCGTCTTGAAATTTTCTGACCTTGCCAGATAAAGGTGAAGAACAATTTTAAACTTGCTGCTAAGAATCGCACTGATACATACATACACACATATAAAACACTAGACGTTTCGCGTAGTTTTACCAGCTTGTATGTTCACTATTCCGCTCTTACGGGTCGCAGTCCGTAATGTAACATAGGCTAATGCATCATCAAACTAAAAAAAAATATAGGTATACTAGCTCACCCGTCAAACGTTGCTTTGCCTAAAAAAAATTTAGGGATGGGTCACCCTTACCATTTAGGGGTATAAAAATTGATGTTGGCCGATTCTCAGACCTACCCGATGTGCACACAAAATTTCATGAGAATCGGTCAAGCCGTTTCGGAGGAGTACGGGAACGAACATTGTGACACGAGAATTTTATATATAAGATATTTGAAATCGTCTTAGAATCTAGTAATAGATCAACATACAAATATTTAGCAAAGTGAAGTTAATCCAGCACATTGTATATATATACAAAAAAATATGTATAATGTTTTATACAATATCATTTTCGTGTCGTCGAGTACAAAAACCAATAACACTTGTTCAAAATACTTACGTGACGGTGCGCCGTTTGTCTAAGGTTTCTAGACTTGCACAGATGTCTAGGGATTTAAAATTTACTGCTAGAGAGATCAATTCTGCCAGGCATTCAATTTTAAAACTACAACCTGAATTATTTAACCTATCAAAAATTGTAAAGCTATAATGAATTCATGAAACGTTTTAAACTTTATATAATTATGTTTGGTACGTGTATTTTGACATCTAAGTGTCTAAAAAAATTACAAAAAAATTATTACCTATCTATTCATTATTACATTCGTAGTATTAATATTTTATTTAACATTTAAATTTTGCACACATTAATTATTACATAATTTATTTCCTGCGTTCCAGGAAGGCGGTAGTCGCTTTCCATCAGGTGACCCGTCTGCTCGTTTGCCCTCTCTTAATTTTTTTTTAAAGTATTGTTAACAAATTTAGTTACAGCTTATTTTGCATTTAATTTATATCGCTAAAAAATTAATTAGACTAGGTATACACAGTGTTCTTTCGTCAGTTTTTTGCCAGGTACTCACGTGTACCCTACAAAGGAAGTCCCTGTGAACCTCCTTACCCCACTGTTTCGACCTTCTTCTCGGGCTTTCGTGGAAGCCGGAGATCATTTTGTTTTCTTCTAGCCTCTGTGAGACGGAAGTCCTCTCCTGTTCCCTGTTCGCCTCCTTTTTAGCCAACATGAGGCGACAACAATGACAATGAGGCGGCTATTTACTAAACAACTGTCAAAATATCTTTATTTATAATGTAACTAGGCTCTAGCCTCGATAAATACTTTCATTGTAAAAAAACAAACTTCCCAGAAACAGCATTAAAATTTATGAATAGTTTAACATTTTAGAAAATAATTACAAATAATAAAAACTCGTCGCAAATGATTCTAAAACATTCTCAGTCAACTAATTTACAGCATTCACTTATTTCTCAAATTATACCTAGTAAAAAGATCTAGAAATATCCGGCATATTGTAAGTACATTTCAAAGAAAATATTTTCGTATCTACAGGCAATAGAATTTCAAATCGCGTACAATAGTCTCATTTATTTAGCATTGTAGTATATTTGCGAACTCATCACCGTTTTTCACTAGTTAAATGAATTTCTAATCTTAATAATTGAGAGCAGGCGCAAAAAAGCGTCAGGTGAGCCGGATGGACTTCATCGACCCCACGTGGTGCTTTTCTCTCTCTCACTCTCTCTCTTGCACGTGTGAAAGAGATGAGAGCAATGCGCTGAGAATATCTAATGGAACGGTTGTTCTATAAATAAATAATACACGTGAAATTGTGTTGTAATGATCTTGAGACTTCTTAATATGTGTGCATAAACTAACAGCTGTGATGGAATCTGGGTTCAGGGTTACACTTTTAGTTGCTTTAAAAACGATTAGATCTGGTTTACAAGTAGCGTCTTTTTTTTTCTGTGCGGAAATCCCCTCAGATACCATCCGCCGGTGCCTTTGTCGGACTCGTACCGACTAAAACCCGCACGCTGTCTCGGGTACCTATAGCCAGGGAACCATTTGTACCCTAGGAAGGAAATCCCTGGTGCCCCGACGTACTTCGGGCCATCTACGGCGGGTAGATAACCCCCTCCTGTGTGGGCGCACAAAGGCGTACAAAGGGAGGTTCAGAACTCGCCCGGCGGGCCGGGAGAGTTCTGAACCTCTCCCGGTCCCGCTCCGCCATCGTCTACGCAAGCATAACTTGCTCGCAGAAGGAGACGGCGGAGTTACACGCACTCTCGCTCCGCACCATGGCCGCAATCATGTTACCGAGCGAGAGAACTCCCACTCTGATGTACACAATTCAAAGGATACTAATAGAATTATTTTACAACTACTTCAACTATAATACTTATTTATCGCCTTTAGCATGTGTAATATTTTATAAGTACCTGTTAAACTTTATTTATGTTAAGAGTAATCGCGCTGTGAATGCAATATACAGGTTAGTAACCATCTGACGCAAAGCCTTAAACATTACAGTTCGTATGGGTCTACGTGTGTGTTCGTATTTATATTAAAAATATTAAAAAACAAACTTGAAATAGTAGAACGATTATAATGTTTATATACCTACCTATTACACTAAAATTTATTCTAATTAGATTCATCAAGAAGTATCGTCACGTACAACATTGTTTTGGCGCGCGTCGCACAGTTATTACATCAGTAAGTGATATCTCAAATACGTTGATTATAAACAAGTTGTTTATATCTTCATACTTTTTACACAACAATATAAGTTTGCAGTTGATGGTTCAACCGTTACAGAGCCAACTTCAGCACAAATCAGCAGGCTTAAGTAATACCACATGGTTGTTTGCACGATACCTATGCCTAAAAACCAGTTTTAATATTTTTTGTCTGTCTGTCTGTTTGTTAATCTGCAAGACGGACGGACGGACTGAACCTATTTTGATAATATTTTACTACCAGGTCAGCTGTCTATATAAGTAGTAACTTTTTTTTCTCTCAGTAAAACCATATAAAATTTAGTCCGATCCGGGAATCGAACCCACTAAGGCAGCGGTTTTCAAATCAAACGCGAACCAAGTCGCGGTCACCAGCTAGTATGATATAATAACAATACAGTCAACGTTGCAGGTTTAATATTTTACTACGACAATACCTTTAATATTTATGACAGTGTGAGATCGATAATTAATCGGAACTCAATTGTGATCGAACTTTTATTACGAGAATTGGCCTGCAGATGACCCGTCTGCTTATTTGCCCTATAGAAAACACATCTATGCACAGAACAATCGCAATACTCGTGATGTCACTAAACTCAACTTCAAAATACAAACATCCGAAGAATTATTGGTACTCAAAATAGTGTTTACGATGCAATTTTATTCGACAGATTGCGACAACGCTGGAACGAATAAAATCCTAGCGCAATGAACGCTGAACTCTAAACAAAACTAAAAACAAGCCCTACGTGCGTTACGTATCGATCTTTGTCATTTGTTCTTCTGAAAAGAAACGAAGAATAATGCTGTTTAGTTGCGAACTTTACTTTGGAGTAGATATTTCCCTAGTCACAATTGTTTCGGAAATTGTCATCACTTACTCTAATAACCTTATCCTGGGGGTTATTTACTTGTCTTTTCTCACAGTTCTCGCCTCTCAGGGTCTATCAAATGCAAATGCAAAAAGCGGGGGCCCAACGATCTTCGAGCGAGCCGTAAGCGTCTGTCCCGGGTGGCAGCGGCCTCAGAGCGGCAGGATCGGAGCGGGCCTATAAATATTGCATTTTTTTTATTTTTTTTATTTTTTTTTTTTTTTAAAGACAACTCCCGCATTAGGAATGTATCCTGTGTCGCGGGGAACTTTACAAACATACATGAAACGGACACAAAGAACACCCAGACTCAGAACAACAAATTTGTGGATGGGGTTTGAACCCACAACACTCGGCGTAGTAGGAAGCGGCGTGGCGACCGCTTAAACCACTACGCCATCCGTGCAGTGCATTTAAAGATGACCTGTATTGTTATACTACAATAATAGTCCTATCATAATAATAGTGTAAATAATTACTTCACACTGACACCACATTAGTAGTATTAGTAGTATCTACATTGCACTGCGAAGTGCGAGGCCGGGGCGGATCGCTAGTACCATAATAAAACGAAAGCGAATAAAAAAAATACTTTAAAGATACATGACATTTTGCGAGCCACCATTGAATTAAACGGGTTATATATCTTGTTGGTGTAAACTGGCACGTTTTATTCAATGAACTTTAAGAGCAGCTGTTTTTCTCTTTTTCCTGTAAAAGAAAAGAGATAGCGTATACAAGTCTGACTAGACACGTGAATGCGATCTTGGCCTTGCTTTGGAGGGCTTCCAACACTGTCTAATATAACCTGTAAATATAATAATATAAAGTATTGTTTTACGTGGGAAGTTGTATAATAATTGAATTCAATTGGTATTCTCGTTTTTCATCTTTACATAGATGAAGCTCTTGAATCGTTAGTGGGCGCCGGTAATTGTTGACTATTGTAGACCCAAATTTCTGATTCTTCTGAGGCATTCAGATGGTGTTTCTGTTCACTAACCTGTAAAAAAATGAAACCCGTAACGGGGTATACGGACTTAGTTTTAAGGAAAGCGTACCCCCATCGCAAAGACCGGCAAACGCTTATACAATAAAAAACATGTTGATTAAGGGAAAACGTGCATGAAGACAATACCTGGCCAAATCCCAGACTTGTCTAGTACCATTGAAATAGACCATTCTCGAACTGTCATTAAAGAATTGAACCTAAATTAAACACTAAATAGAAATAGAACAAAATGATCAGGTAATCGGCTTTTAAAGTATAACGAAGGGAAACATTATGCGAAAGCAATCTAAGTTAATTATGTTGTATTCTGATCATTGAATTATTTTTATTCTATTAAATTGTTTGTTAAAATAAGTAATTGATGATTATTTCTACAAAACATATATCCCTCGTCTTACTAATATAAACCTGACACATCGTCCCAATTTAGGCAGCCTTTAGTTACTAAGTATATTACTTTAGGTAACCAGACTTCTGTTAATCATACTTATATATTTCTAAATACACACATGTTATGGAATATCTTCAAGAATATTGAAATGCATTATTCTTTCCAGTACTACGTACTTTAGGTACAAACAAATGCTCACTCCACTATCTTACATTATAATATCGTTTGGAAAATGTTCCAATCGAATATAAATATTAAGTTCATCAGGTTAAGTATACAGTTATACTGATAGCAAACAAAGTATATTGAGCTGTAAATGAATTGTGATAACGTACCTAATGTTTTGAACTATGCTGATGTTGAACCTATTTATAGATTATACATGTATGTTTATGTGAGTGTGTGTTAAGTTAATAAAAGTTGACAAGGTCATTTGATTTTGCACAATATGTTATCTAGACTATTAGTTGTTTCTATTATTATTGCCAGCCCTAGTGAAATAGACATTTGCGAATTATGAAGTTTTTTGCTTAAAGATCAAACAAAAACTATCTCAAGTATACAAGAATAAATAATTGCAAAATTTGCGAGGAAACTATATTCACTGCCTTAAAAATTACAATTTACCAAATACTGAACCAGTAATGTATATTCTACAAACAGATACACCACCTCGTCTTTTGCCCAATATCATTGTTTTTCCAATAAATAGTACTTACAAGGCATCTCATCTTGACCGACCATGTACTGCAGATAATATAACCAAATTCATTAGCATTAAAACATACATATAGTTCCATTACAATATACCTATCTATACCTAACTTACAAAACAAATTATTGTGGAAAATAAACAGTCACGTTTCAGGCATTGAAACTGACGCGGACTAAAGTACTTTAATTACAATTTAATTAACGCTTGTTATGGTTTTCTAATTGAACTTGTGTTTGTGTTGCTGTTTTAATACATTTGCGTTTAATTTGTACCATTGTTTAAGCGTTACTAGCATAAACTACAATCTCACTTAAAATGTATATCTAATTGACGTGACTGAACCAAAATTCTGTCTGATATACAAATGATAGGTTTCTGTTTCACCTACTTATTAATTAATCTATCTAATATAAAAAAGTATTATAAAAAGTGTCTTGGTGTACGCTTCAAAAACTCAAAAAGTTCTGCACTGGTTGAGCTCAAATTTTGAC